TCTATCAGGACTCAGTAGCTAAGTGGATAACGCGATAGCGTCTGAAGAAATCGGTACTAGGTTCGAGTCCCAGAGTGAACATCAATTCTGAGATGCAGGTACATCCAGCTGACGAGTCCCAAATAGGACGAAACGCGCGTCCTGATTCCCACTGCTAGCGACTATCCATCTTAGCTTATAATCCTTGTGAATTAAGGCAACATCGAGGCAATACGCACAGTATGTACATATGTCAATAAGAGACTGATCAATAGCAGTCCTAAACATCAATGGGAAGATTCAAATAAACAATACCAAGTGAACCAAAATCTATCAGTTTTTCTGATGAATCCAATTGCACATTAAACTGAAGAAAAATTCACTTGGTTCTATGTATGAATACAACTTACCATTATTTTGTTCAATGCATCGTTGTGATGAAACTGTCATAAAATGTTTTGGGAAATTACACAAACTGGTATAACGGTTTAATTCGGTTTTATGCTTAATATTAAATCCTGGACCTCCACGATATGCACATGCTTTAGGACAAAACTGATGTATATCCTGTCGAACGATTAATCGAAATCTTTTAGCTGAAATAGTAGTCGTAGAGTTGGCATAATCTCCATTCGTATGTTCATTAAAGTCCAGCAACGCTGTACAGTAATACATTATAAATTGTATTCTTGTATTTGATCGATTAGGGATTAAATATTCATAAAAATGTTTATTTATTTCATGAGTTTGTAATTTTAATTTATGAAGTTTAATTAAAGTTTGATAAAACTTATGATGAAAATTGTTTGTTCTCATATGATTACTGTTAATGAATTTTTCGTATTCGTTTATATTAGTATACAATTCGATTAATTTGCTTTTTCCATGACTTTCTGGTGGTATAATGATGGTATTTTGTTCTGTTCCGAATTGACCAGGTGAATAACCAGCTCGCATTATATACTGATACTGTATTGGTATGTCATACAGAATGTTAAAGTAAAAGTATTCCTCTGCTTCATTGGTAGATTTTAAACTAAATGATATGGTCGGGCATAAAATAACGATGCACATTAAGTTTAATAGCTGAAAGTTAAGATCAAGACAATCTGTACTATTTTAACTGGATGAATATTGAGTAAGTGGTATTTTTTGGAACTATTTTACAGATTACTATTGAATTACTAGTTTGTTACATTTCCACATTTGTTTTATTTTAAGTTCCCGTTAGATTCACTATCACTATCCATTTAAGCATCCTTTCAATTTTTTTCAAATCATTTAGAGCTTGCTCTATTCTCTCACTTCTGGCTTATTCTTGTAGAAACTATGACTTTTTATTTATTATATAATTTGATTTGGCAGTGTATATATATGAGTGCCTGAAATATAATAATATAGGAAGGTGTGTCTCTAGCGGATCAATAGGTGTCAAGATTATCTCATCATTGTTGAAAGTTAATTACTGTCAATCAAAGCGCTCAATCGGTTAACCTTGGTCTTCAGGTGAAAAAAGTATGCTCGGACTAGAGAATCATTGAGTCCTTATTAAGTATCGTTCAAAAATGTGTGAGAAAACCAGGATCACAATGTACATCTTTATAAAATGATATTTTATGGGTTGAGATTAGCATTTATTGTCTATGATGAAATACTGCTCCCATAAGCTTAGGATTTGCAGGCATCTGATAGTTTCCATTTTTGTCGAGGTTTCATGTTCACAGAAGCTTTCATCTAGACACCTCATGGGTCGAGATCTTAATTTTTTTAAATACTATCATTGTGCTTTACGTGGCTTACGAAAGTAATGAAACTGACTTGGTCGACCAATGAAAAATCAAGACTAAGACACTCAGTTATACATCATGTAGTAATGCAGGATCCACCTATTTTAACTATAACACAAAGTTATGACAGCAAGGTCACCTTACGGTATTTTTGAATTTCGCGGAACCCCACGCAGAACAAAAAATGTCACGCAAATTTTTCTGTTACGTCAGTTTTTCAAATGTAGTGTTATGATAGCCTTTTCTCAGAACAAAAAATATTGCATTTATCATCGGTATTCATTTAAGTTGGGTTGCTTAATGATCTGACACTCACATACGAGCACACTGACGATAGGTTAGTTGTGCAGATAAGCGACGCCTTCACTAAGTTTCAACATTGAAATTCACTATGTATTGAAAATTTAACTTGGGGTATAAGTCAGAACAAATAGCGTTCATACTTACTTCCTTGATAAGCTCGGACAAACCACAAACATTAAGATCTGCAGAAATACTCTATACACTAATCTTTAATTGAATTTAAACATTAATATCAATGAATACAATAATAATGTTTCATGACAACAATCTTAATTTTGTTTATTCATTCGACGTTAATGATAATATATTTCTTAACGCTGAATAGTAATGATTGGGTTTAAGTTGATTTTATTCGAAGAATCTGATATATTTTAAGCAATTACATCTTATAACCACATTAGATTGTTTCACAGATTAGCTACACAACAACGTGACTAAGATATCATGTAATACATAACACATAAAACCCAACGTATTGGCCCAAATTTGTCAAGTTTTATAATGAACAAGTCATCTAGTATTGATTAGTAACTGGTTTAAGAAAAAGTAATTTCTACGACGTTCTATTGAGTCAAAGCGAATAATCGAACCAGTCAGGTAGGATTTAGTTATTTTACAAATATTTAGTGCAAGATGAATAGGTATCATAACAAGACAATGACATTTTTACGAACATTGCTGATAATTCGAATAAACTTACCTTCATACAGTTTATTCTGAAGAGAAGTGGTCTTAAATAAAACTAAGAAGGAATACAGAAGAGACAGTGTAGTGAAAAATAGCCAATTAAATGAAGTTAATACCACAAGTCGAATTCAACCACTATTAGCTTAATTATACCTTCAATCTGTCTATTATTTACACATACATGTATTATAGTTTAAAAATAATTGATCAGTTAGAATGATTTGTCGATAATAATAACAATTACATGAAAATGTATAGACAGGCCGATCTGAGGTGGAAAGCAATATATAGAGCACCCTTTCAATTAATTTATTCAACTTACATTAGCTTCAAGTATGTGACAAGTTTTACAAGTTCTGAAACATAAAGCAACTGCGATTTTTATTTAAGAGTGACGTATGCAGTAGTGTTATAAGCCTGAAGTTGTTCGGTTGAATATTCTTTTTTTTTACACAAGTTACGGATACTCGTTTTATTTCTCTAGTCACAAGTGACTTGAAGTGATGTAATGAAATATACATTTAAACATCCTTTTTCTCCAGCAAAATACTTTTCAATATGTGCAGTTGTTACGGAATTATTCACTTCCAAACCCCTAGTGCTATGCAACTTGACTGACGGACTTAGTAAACACAGTGACGTTACTTGGACTATTTCCACTATCGAATACGCAGATGAATAAACACTGAACAGCATAGCTTGTATCAAATAACAGTCAACTGTGATTTCTCAAGGTTATTTCAGTAGAACATTAGGTAAGTTAATAAACAATTTTTAACACATGTGATGGGAAGTGAAATCTAGTTCACAAGATGAATATCTATGAACTGCATATTTCCTAAATAATACACTTCACACTAATATTTTATTTAACAGCTAATTGGAAAATAAAAACGGTTGTGCCGCATTTACACTAAATTTGAATTCTATGGTGAGAGGTCACTTTATACCATCAGTTCGTAGATATTCAGTCGGCCAAACGAGTGGGCATATTTATGAGTAGCATAAAAGTAGCTTAGTATTTCTGTCCCAAAAATATTACAGTTTTCTGGGCAGTTGGTAACTGCGTCAAAATACATTCTGAATAATTCAAACGATGCATATCTCTCATTCATACTTATTCAGTCAATTCAGTTTTAACACGTAGTAATTTACGCTGTATTACGTACACCAAATGATTCCTTTGAGAGAACAGGTGGCAAATTTTAATTACTACGTAAGAACACAATGGAATGAAGGGTAAGAAGTAAACTCAGTGACCAAGTTCTGACTTCTTTGGTTGATGAGTTGCCTACAGAAACACTAGTGCAATAACAAGCGCATAATTTGAGAATTCTCATTTTTCCATTATCTCGAATATTAGTTTCTTAATTTAGTAAAAGATAAGTATTCCTAACTAGTTCCTGACATCCATTTATTTTGGTTATTTTTATTTGTTTGAGTCATGGCTATTTCACCAGTTAAAGTAAATTTAAACAATAAATACATCAAGATCCGTTAGACGCTCAGTCAAAAAGGATTTTCGGAATTTCCCACTTATCTCAACTGGGACATTCGGAAATGTGTATTACCTTTATAGTTGTCTACCTTAAGTTGGTTCGACTTTATCCAGTTATTTTATAGATTGAGTCAAAAATAACCACGTACTATATCAGCACGAAAACGATATTATTAACTTGTAATGACAGAATATTTTGAATATGAATTTGATTTGCTTATTCTATTTCATAACAAGTCACATATCACTCCGCATAATTTATGAGAAGTACGTTTTACTGGAACTCTTTAGCCTTCATTATTGTCAGACGAGTTATTCTTGGAACAACAGACAGAATAATAATAACATAGCTATTGATAACTAGTAAACTACTTTGATTATTAAAACGATTCTGGTAGATTATTTCTCAAAAATTTAAAACATTACATAAGAGCGGTTCTCTTTGAACGTACTGAAGCTTAATGTGTAGAAGGTTTATTCTTAAAAGAAACATTGTATGTAATCACTTTTCACCTTCCCAATGATTCAAGAAATATATGACACGTTCAATAGTTAAAATAATAGGAGTATTACAAAATGCTAGTCGATGTTCGAAAAAATGATTACCTTAAAATAAGATCAAGCTAACCGACATAAATCACTACTGGTACTACGTTTTCGTAATCTTTCTAGAAAGTTTAACACTTAAGATAGTTGCACTTTTGCAGTATAGCCAATGCCAAATAAAAAAATATTGGAAACAAAAGAAATGAATATGGATAATCATATATTGTCATAGATAGAAAAGTTTACTTTACATTTTAATAAAGAGTAAACAGATAAATATATGAACAAAATGCTGAAATTTAGAGAAAAACATTTTATTTATTTAGTCTTTCCAACTAATTTCTCGACTAAATCTGTCGTTCGAGACGCAAGTCCACGAACATCATCTAAGAGACCCGCTTGAGCCATAGCCGTGTCATACAAATGATTCAAGATTGAAATTGCTAAAGAATAATCTCCACTTTGTTCAGAATCTTTGGAAGCATGAACTAGATTATACAGATATCGAACTAGTTCATGTTCTGGATTAAGTTCTAGTATTGGTTCAATAACACGATATCTTTCTTCAGCAGGTCTGTCAGCCAAAGATGTTCTCAAAAAATGTCTCATTGCTCCAGCTTCACGAACAGAAACAAAGCATGGATGAGTACTCAACCTCTGTGTAACCTGAATAATTGGAAACAAATGTGATATTTATTTGTCAGAGAAATAGATAAAATAATTAAGCGACAACAGTATACAGGATGACTTGATTTTTTATGAAAACTAATGATGTAAACACAAAACTACAGCAGTATATTTACTAAACTATAACGACACTTAGATTTGGTGACCTAAGAACCGTACGAAAACCATACGTTATATGACAGCAGTAGGGTAAATTGGAAATGCAATACCCAAATGACGAGTAGACAACATAATAAGTTCAAATTTGTGGGGGTGTTTTTATCGCAAAAGGCACCGACACACTTTTACGTAGCAAACCGGGATAATGGTCAATATAAAGATCTCCCAACGATGTAACTGCTGTTCTATTAAGGTTTGGTTCAAGAACAAACAAAATTACTGATAAATCTTTAGTGACCGAATCAAAAAGATTTCGAATAACACATCTGTAATATTAACTTTCAAGAACACACAAGGCTGTTAAGATTTTCTTCTAGAGCGCGAAATATAGAGAAATATCCTTCCACGGTGTGGGCAGCCCGGGAGGTGATATCACATTCAAATCCTTCCTACACCTCCACGATTAACCCTTCTCATGCCCCTTTATCACCTTGCACCGCTAATGCAAACGATTCGAGTACACCGGTCTCCTGAAACCAAGCTTTAAACTACATGTAGGAGCTTTTAAAGTCCGAACACTATGCCGAATAGGACAACAGGCTTCCTTAGCTAGGACTTTAGAGTCTCATGCCATCGATGTATGCTGCGTCTCCAAAACGCACATACAGGATCCGATTAGTGTCATTCATTTGACCTCACCATATCAAAGTGAAGAACCATCTCGATTCACGCTTCGTGTATCTGGAAGCCCAGATGCTGCTTCCCGTGGCCTCGATGGTATAGGTATAGCATTGAGTCCTAGGGCAGAACTAGCTTTCTTAGACTGGATTCCAGTAGACAGTCGCTTGTGCGCTGTTCGACTAAACGGAACAGTAAAGACTCGGAAAGATAGGGATACACATCGTTGCCTCCTCGTCGTCTCTGCCCACTCTCCCACTGACTGCAGCTCAGATGATGTAAAAGATGAGTTTTACAGAAAGCTTCCCGACCTTCTCCAAAACGTTAGGCGCTCTGATGTAGTAAAAGTGGCTGATGACTTTAATGCTCAAGTAAGGTAAACCATAAGGTTAGGGAGAAATACTGAGTCTCAGCAGCATCTACCGCACAGATATATGCTCGAAAACTCATTCGATCTGGCTCTGAACATGACGAAGAGCGGAGTCAGCTTAAGCGCAAACTGATAAGAAGCCTACGCAATGATTGTGAACAGTGGTGAGTAGCGAAAGCAAGAGAGATGGTAAAGGCAGTGGCAATAAGTAACATTAGACAACTGTTCAGACTTGTTAAAGAAACCGGTATTACGAACCCGACTGTTAGCGAAACTACCTTAAAAAAAGATGGACATATTATGCACCCTCAATCCAGGAGGTTGGATCGATGGGCAGAACACTTTAGGAATCAGTTCAACTGACCTACAGCCACACTTCGATGTCCCAAGATCTCCAGTCGACCTGAATGGCAGTCAGTCAGTAACAACGTAGAACTTCGTAGGTACGTACATCAGTTCAAGTTGCCAGACCGCATTAGCACAGAGATACAATTATCGATTCAAATCCTATAGTAGTAGAAGTAGTAAGAGTAAAAGCATGAACCTCAACGTACCAAGAGGTACTGGGCCGCAAAAAGTATCATAAGGAATGGATCTCTATCGAAACCCTGGACAAGATTCAAGGAAGGAAGAACAAGACGACAATTAACAACAGCCGAACATGAAAAGAATCAAGACACAGATCAAACACACAGAAGCAAACAAGCAAGTGAAAAAAAGCATTAGAGCAATGATGTCAGAAAAAGATGCAACTGAATCCACCGGAAATCAAAGCAGCACACAAAGGCCTTCCTATACGTCACTCTACCAACAACGGAAGCAATCAGGGTGGCCATTAGACAAATCAAGATTGGAAAACCAGCAGGACCTGAAAATATATCAGCTGAAACACTGAAGTCACACATAAAACTGCAAACATGCTCTACGTTCCATTCAGGAAGATTTGGGAGGAAGAACAAATGCCACTGACAGGCTGGGAAGAATGACACCTCATCAACATTCCAAAGAAAGAAGATCTGAGCAAATGTGAGAACTACAGAGGCGCCACATTACTGTCAGTACCAGGAAACGTCTTCGTTGGGGACGTTAGATTCCCAGAACTCAATTGGGAAAGAACCTAATTTTGTAATTTTATTTAGAAAATTTGAATTTCTTTATTTTCGCGCCAAAGGCGCTCTTGTCATCTTCATGTCGTATTTCCCATTGGGAAATATCTTAAATGCTATTGGTCTGTTGCGTATGTATGCTACTTGGTAACTCTCCCCAAGGACGGTTTTGTACTGTATATATACGTTTTGAATTGTGTTTGTTGTTATCGTTCGTTCCTGGCTGTTTGCAGAATATATTTCCCCATCCCAAGCTTGGACTTCTCCCTTTAGTTAGCGGGGCTGGGACGCATCAATAGCTAGGTTACTGGTCTTTGGTCACCGAGTCTTGTTTCTCGTTCGCAGATTAAGTGAACTCGTGATAGCTTCAACCCTAGCAGTTTTCAACAGTGTTGCTGAACTAGATAAAAAAAACCCAGTAGACGCCTAACTTCGAGGACAACGGGCTGGATCCCGTAAAGAACGGTCGAGCACAGACTGAATCATGACAATACGGATCATCGTTGAGCAGTCTGTTGAGTAGAACTCGTCACTATACATCAACCTCCTCGACTATGAGGTGTGTGACAGTGTTCATAGGAGAGCCTTATGAAAACTACTTCAACGCTATGGTGTACCTGAGAGATCGTCAATGTGGTTAGGAATTCATACGACGGACTACAGTGCAAAGTCGTGTATGGAGGACAGCTGACAGATGCATTCCAAGTAAGGACCGGAGTCAGACAAGGCTTCTTACTCTCCCCCTTTTTCGTTCTTCTAGTGTTTAACTGGATTATGAAGACCACATCTGACGGGAAGCACGAAATACTATGGACAGCTTGCATGCGACTGGACGGTTTGGACATCGTAGGTAACATGACTGTTCTATCCCATACACATCAATATATTCACGTAAAAACAACCAGTCTAGCAGCAACCTTTGTCTGCAGCAGTAGACCTCAACATACACAAAGCAAAAACCAAGATTCTCAAATACAATATAGAGAACACCAATCCAATCACATTTCATAGAGAAGCTCTGGGAGGTGTGGAATCTTTCACGTACCTGGGAAGCATCATCAGTGAACAATGAGGATCCGATGCAGACGTAAATGTAAGGATTAGTAAAGCAAAGACAGCATTCCTACAGTCGAAGAACATTTGAAACTCAAAAAAACTGTCTCTTAGCCAACACCAAAGTCAAGACGGTTCCACTGTAAAGAGCGGAATCATAGAGAACTACTGGAACAGGTATTTATAAACAATCTTGTAAGCAATATACTCCAGATCCGTTTGGTAGATCCCATCAGCAACAGCTTACTGTGGGAGGGAACAAACCAACTTTCATCTGAATAGGAAATTAAGAAAAGCATCTGAAGATGGGTAGGACATACACGTGGAAATCATCGAACTGAATCAAGAGGTAAGACGTAACTTGGAATCTTGAAGGAAAAAAGAAAAGAGGAAGACCAAAGAACACATTGAGCAAGGAATTCGTGGAAGGCATCAAGAGAATGAATAACGATTGCAAACAATTGAAAAGTGAAGAAATATCAAAGTAAAACCTAACACAAAAATGTATAAATTCAAGATGTTGCGACTGATGAATATAGGTAATATTTGTATCATATTTGCATCATGGATAAAATATGGGAACAAATATTTATGATGTGGTGTGAGCTACTGATGTCGACAGATATAAATGGTATGTATTATCAATCGAAAGTGAAATGTCTGATGACAGAAGGTTAAGAAGATCGAAGAGAAGAGAACGAGAACAGAGAATGATTGGTGTGGAAACGAAGGAATAATCAAGTCTGAGATAATTGATTGACATTTTGCAAATGAAGTATTTACTGTATGGTTCTCAGATTTTACGGGATTCTGTAATTTTGTGTTCGAATACATTTGGTTATCCCCTCCAGTGTTCTCGTTCACTACGATAAGACATTACAAAAATGTTTGTGATATTTTAAAACTTTACTTAAGTGCATTTTTAATGTGAAGTGATTTTAATATGAAGCATTCATCTTGTTCAATATATTCTAAAAAATGAGTATACTTGTAACCTGTTAATTCCAATAAATTTTTACCAAGACTAATTATGAAATATGAGCAACCAGAAAACTCTGAATGATTTAATTTACCGAAACGATCATTCTCATTATTTCTTACTTTCACTTTCTTGACTTTTGAACCAAGAACTTTTTCTGCCCATTCTACCAACTCCGACGCCTCATCCTGTTTTAAGCAATTTTGGCGTTCAGATCCAACTGAGTCAGTATTTGCCATATCATCAGCGATCATACTCTCAATCGACGTAAACGTTTTTTTGTCGTATTGACTTAATTGCATAAGAACAAGTTCGTCGTACGGTTCGTACAAAAACAGGACCTGAAATTAGAAGCGAACAAATCAGGCCCTGTAATTAAGTAATACAACAACACTAATGTGGTAAATTTGCAGTTTAACAGATTTTATTTAGGCTAACAATAACGCTGTTGAATATTACAATATTTTGGAGGTTATAAAATATAAGAATGGAAATCCGACAGGACAATATAGTTGATGTTAACAGGTGAACAGATACTATTGAGATGAAACTTCTGTCTTCTTTATCGTATCACTTTCTGAAGTGTGAAGTAAATAGTTAATGAATGATTCTTACATATTCCTTAGTAAGTGTTTTGTAGTGTTATCCCCGGCTTTATAGTGAATGGTCAAGCTAATATGTAACGATGTTAGTAAACGGATTGTACTGAACAATCCAAATAAACAACTACAATTGTCCCCCTAGTATATAACGTCCCAAAAGATCGTAGGAATACCAAAAGACGATGTCTGATATGTGACTGTAAAGAAATATTACCTGTAAAATACAATTTATGTACACTTATATATATATATATATTTAGAAAATGTCTAGATGATTTATTTTGAGTGGTGAAACAACGAAATAAATTATCCTTTACGATTCTTTAGATTACGTTGCCGCATTCATGAAAATCTGAATTAGTGACAAATGTCTAATGCGTCGACTGACAGTTTGAAATTTTGATATCTGCTTACATCAATTCATGTTGAGAAAATAAATATATATCAAGAAACTTCAAAGTGTATTTCTGAGGACTTCACTATTTTAGTCGATTAAAGACCTACACTAAAGAAAAAATAATCATACGGGATCAGGATTGATGCATATCACTTTAATCATTTTTTAAGGAAATTTTATATACTTCACTAGTATAAACAGAAATGTCTAGACCTAATTTTATACATTTAAATAATTTCTTTATACAGTCGCTTCGAACATTAAAAAATGAATTCTGAATGACTTTGTTGAAACTGAAAGGGAACCGATGACAGTTATTCCACACTTCTGTGAATGGTAAACAATGTCATGTTTGTTATATCCTTAGTGCTGATCGTATTACATCGATCAACGCCTAAATGATTATTTGTATAGAATGATAAGCAACTAATAAAGCTTAAGCATACAAACTGGTTGCTCGATGGTCTTTGATATAGCCCTGAGGTTCTAAAGTGATTAATGAAAGTTCAATGTGATCAAAAATTCAAGTAAACTTGAGTATCAACTGATAAACTCCTGGACCTAGGTGTTGTGCTTTACTGGAAAGCATGAAATATCATGAGTGTTTGTAATTTATCTTGATCTTTACTAGGTATATAGCTACATTGATATGTAAACATTACAACAAATCCAAACACTGAAAGCTTTATTAGACGTTTGGAATGTTCACTGAAATGAAACTGACAACCAGGTGTCCGCAAAGTCAGTTCACTGTTCACATTAGACTATAGTTAGTAATTTAATCTACCCAGGATCAAATTGCGGAGACAAGTTAGTTTACTGTTGCTTTCTCTACCCACATGATGAATAACTAACTGCTCATACCACTTAACAGTACATTCAAAAGATAGGGATTCTTAACATGAAAGATCCACATTTAGTGCAACGAAATCTACGTTACTGTGATCCTTAGAATGAATTATCAGAAAAGTACTTTTTAAGGTGGAACAATATACGGCTGACAAGACGAAACGGACATGTTGGAATCCGTGGCTTGGGAGAATGAATTGTTGATTTCCCTCGAAATTAGGCAACAATAATAACACAACATACGATCACTATTTTAACATTCACATAAAATCAATACAATACAGTACTCACCTCAATATCTGGATCTTTTTTGCGGACAGCTTCCAAATATGGAGAACTCTCAGCCAACTGTCTGTTGGGGGATGATAAAAAGTAAATATTTCTCTGACCTGAATGCATTCGGTTAGCATATTCATCCAAACAAGTAGTTTGACCAGGAGGTAAGGCAGTAGATTCCCATCGTAATAGTTTAGCTATTTCTTCGCGTAATTCTTGATCTCCCTCAATTACTAAGCCTTCTTTCAAATAAACACCATAGTCATCCAGAAAGCTAATGAATTTGTCTGTTTCCCGTGATGCTTGTTGCTGTAGAAGAGAATACAATATAAAGTCTATAACTAGAAACTTTAAAAACTATTATATAACTGTGAAGAGTACAGTTTGAGATACTATCAGTACATGTGAACTATATAATCTTAACGAAGTAACGAAATAAAGCTTAATGAATATACAGAACACTATGTAATGCATCTCAGTTTACTCCAATGTTTGCACTTGACACAGAGATGTTCCTTCTACTTTATTCTTCGATTTGAATAAAAACTCAAGATTTTGTAATCGAATTACGTCACATTATCAAAATGATAGTCAGTTGATTAGGCCGGAAGTTGACCAAAGTAAATGAAGCGGCTGAACATATCTTTTTTCTGGACGCAAAGCTCCATCTTTTTGATTCAAATAGCCGTTGTTTCAGCCGTCTAAAGGTTTGTTATTCTGACGGTTTACGCGGATTTCTGTTAACACGATGTATCATTATAAATGACTTCTATATATTGGTTGTATGTCGTGTTTACACTAAATGAGCTAAAATCGAGTTGTTGGCAGTTTTAACTGCACCCTTACGTAACCACACTGGGAGATGCTCGCGAGCACGAAAATACAAATCCCCAGAACATCTGTCAATGTAACTTGCTCCACAAGAGCATTTGAATTGATAGATACAGAAAGAAGTAGCTAGTCTAGGTAATTGGTCTTTTAATCTCAGAGTGACCATCGGGTGTTGGGAAAACATTATTGTAGTTTACCTGCACTACAGGTTCTTTGGGTTGCTCTTTGCAACCGTAGTATTATCATTTCACCGGGTGCACAACTTCTAAATTGTAAGCGTATACATAGAGACTTTTCGCTCTCATTTAGGAATTCCTTATGCTTTTTTTCATGGGTAGATGTTTATTTACAAATTTCTCCGGATATCCATTTTTCAGAGTAGCACTGAATGCTCTTGTTTCTTCAACCGCATTTAGAGAGTATATGGTCTTGATTCTTGGTCTTAATCAGGTTCCTCTTATATTGTAGAGGAACAAAAATAAGGAAAATTGTATATTGGCCAGTCTAAGTAGTTGTCTTGTCTAAGTTTCCTCTTAGTGACCTATTTATTCCCTTTGAAAGTAGAACATCTAGAAAGGCTATTTTCTATCTGTATAAATGGATGGACTTCATTTAATCCTTTGAGTGTCTCTATTCGGTCAGCAACTAAATTAGCAGATACATATGGGTCACCACGATGTTACATACAATTTTATGTCACTTCACCTCAAGATTAGGACCAAACATATGTACCATCATGAAGTGGTTGTCAGGTTGATCTGTCGTTACAAGCCTGTAAATCAATAATGACCGGAACGTTTGTTTTTGAGATTCTAACATGCTAAGCAGGTCAGTTGAAGAGCTGTACGACCAAAAGCAAAAAGTCTAGAATTCAAAAGTAAAGACGAACTCCCAAAAATAGTAGTGTTGCAGTAGTAAGATAACCAGTATCTCCAGTGATAGTCTTCCCACAACAGGTTATAAAATGTCGACCCCAAAATGGCACGCCTTACCTTCTCCATGGATCTCCAGTGCGGTGGTAAGGACTGAGAAGTATCTAGCAAAACAACTCACAAGAAGGCCGTGTGAAACTGGGTTCAAGAGACAATCTTTTTGACCCTACGATTACGATCCTATTTGATCATGATTACTAACAACCCGTTTTCGCTTTCCTGTCTCACACAATTAAGAAATAATCTCGAAATGTACAGAAAACATTTATGGTCAACTTACAGATAAAAATTTGAGGAACCTGACAGTTACCAAACGGTTGATGCGACGTATAAGTGAATTGTCTTGCAGCAATTCCCTACTCAAGTTTAAGGGGATATCCTCGCTATCAACAACACCACGCAGAAAACGTAGCCATTTCGGTAAAAGTACTTCTGTACGATTCATTATCATAACCTGTTAGGCAAAGAAAGCAAAATAAATCAATTCAAAGAAAGAAAATTGGCAATCTCCAAATAACTAACACATGACAGTCTGTGATGGTGTCTAGCTTGAAACCATAGTAGCCTTCAGAAATAACCTACTGAGTGGACGACTTGATTTCTGGGATATTATACGCAGTGACCACTATTCGTACTACAATGACTCCATAGATTTAATACTGAATAGGTGATTTAAATTAATTTGTGAATAATGTGTATGACATACCTTTCGACTGTATAGTGCCACACCATTGTCCGAATCCCGCGCCATATCAAATATACTAGGTTTCCAGTTTGGGACATACAAAAGTACTCGCAAATTTATCGGTGCATCCGTTTTGTATGCAAAAGTGTAACGTGGACTATCGTACTTGTTACCACAAAGATACTGGTAGAAAGAATTATGTTCTTCATCAGATACCTGGAGGAAAAAAGAATAACAGGAAAGCCAATAATTAAATATGAATAGTGACGTACTTCAAGAAGGAACGACAATTAATCAGCTGGAATTTACTGAACTTTTACTCTGAAAACTCTTCTGTATGTTGAAACCAAAGAGTGAGTGATGTTAAAATTAGAATTAGGATACCACGTAAAGATGGTGGATCGGTTGATGAGATAGTAAATCTTGATTGACTGAGGTGACTTGGACATATAACACTTGTGCCCTACCATTGGATACCTCGACGTATAATCTCTACCAAAGTAGCTGAAGGTTAGATGAGTGTTAGGAGCAGCCAAAACAATCAGTCTGTGAAGTTATTGCCTGTTGAACTAAGCCGTGTTGGTAGGTAAAACCTATCTGGTTGAGATTCGCGCGATTATTGTAACGAATGGTTAGAGGCTGAGTGACATGGCTTAAGATCAGGCACAACAGCGTAGATCTATTCACTTTTTGTTTTGCCTTAGATCGTGAAGTTTAAAGTAATTTTATACCTTTTTATTTTAGAAATGTATTTTTCTTAGATCAAATTTTCTATGCTTAACGTTTTCTGTTATCACTGATTCTGTTATTTCTGCTACTATGGCAATTACCTTGATAATTTCACTGAGCTATGGTGTTGCTCGTTGAACTAATGGGCACGTGATTTAGGTTTTATGCTACCTATGGCCGACTAAAAACGTCTATATATTATCGCTCTTATCCTATGGTAAAACCATCACAAAAGCGGTCAATAAAGATATAAGCATATTCATCAGGATAGATTCACGAAAAAATTTAAATTTATTATAACATAGTGTTCAGTATAAAATAAATCCACTGCATTATGAAACAGAACGTGTACTCTTAAATATTTGAAATTATAAATTCCTTTTATTTGAAATAATGAAAAAAAGTATAGCAGTTATTAAAAAAGGGGAGAATGATTAACCTCATATGTATTTGCTTACTTCTGATTGATTTTTAGTCCATACTGGTTCAATTACATTGATTCGTCGGCCATTAAGATAAATAGGGGTACTAACGAAATTGCTGTATTTACGGAGAATACGTTCCAATACATCTTCTTTAGAAAATTCGGAAGCTGAATCCTTCAGTTGAAGAACAATTTTTGTACCAGGATTAACATTTTCAGCATCACCAATTTCATATTCTCCGTTAAGACCAGAAGAAGACCAATGGCTTCCAACTTCCTGAGGGTTCGTGTCTCTGCGACTGCGGGAATAAACATCAACCTATACAAACAGATAACAACAAAATGTGATTTAAAAAACACATCCAAACGTGAGAGTCAAATATAATCCATGATCAATCTATATTTAACTATTTTTATCAAAATAACAACAAAATGAACACCAAACTCATACAAGTAGTTACTTCAATGGTAGTAATATGTAAAAAAAAAGATTGTGTATAAGGATATAGTACAAGAAGAATTAGTTCGTAAAACGAAAGGTATAAATTAATTTTAATCTCACAGCTTAAGGGAAGACAAAGAGTATATACACTTACACTATTGTGAATGATCCTGAGTCATGTCACACAGTCTCCAACCACTGGTTACGATAGTCGCGCGGACCCCATCCAAGCAGTCTACACCTGCCAATATGGCTAAGACTAGGAATTAGTGACTTCAAGGACTGATGCCACGTTTTGGTTTGGAAGCCCTAACTTTATTCCAATCGTCTCCAACACTAGTCAGCATTGCGCGTCGTGGTAATCGATGTTCATACATACATACATAACACGTGGCCGAACCATCTCAGTTGATGAAGATTTGCAACCCCATCAACTGATTTACCATCATTCCCTAATACCCTGCGTCTAACCTCGCTATTACTTATCCGGTGATCCCAGTAGATGCGAGCAATATTTCGAAGACATCTGTGATAAAATACTAGTACCTTACGACTTTCTTCTACACTTAATGACCACGTTTTGTAGCCGTAAAGTAGAACAGAACGATCTGACGAGCAGTATACTCATCCTTTTCTTGATAGACGGATATCTCGCCTTCACCATAAGTGACGTAAGTTGGAAAAAGCCAAACGAGCTCTTCAAATCCGTGCTGAGACTTCGTCAGACACCAACCCACTAAGGCTAATCAGACTTCCACTGTAGATTAGTAGGGTATCAATAGTATGACGACTATAAATATATTATATATACAAGTCAGATCCAAATACGCTAGATCGGCAGTTCTGAGTTGTATTATAAGGGATAATACGGTACTTTTTGTAGAAATAGCCATGTCTTATTAATTTACATTTTTCCATATCATATATTAAGAACCATATAACAGCATTCGGAGTTCTTCAGTATAATCTTTATGTTCTTCGTTAGCTTTCAATGCTACATACAGAGAGCTGCTACGAACGAGTATTTTCTTGTTAATTCACAGCGGCTTACTATTCAATATTTAGTGTTATTTTTTATATCCTTTTTACCTAACATCACGTTTCTTTTCGCGCTGCTTCAAAATGTGCCAACTTGAAAAACCCACTACTGTATCCCGTTTGAATTTGTTACAACCAATTATTTTCAACTTGAATCTATGAGTTAGACTAAGATAGACTACCACTGAAAACCTGGAGGCACTGGATGGCCGTTTCGACCTTGTGTGGGACTCCTCGGCAGGGTGTATCTACGACCCCGCACACGAAACTCTAACCCAGAACCCTCGGTCTCGCGCACGAACGCTTAATCTCTAGACCACTGAGCCGGCATCCAACGGTGTCAACATCTAACTTCGATCGGCCCACGATCTTACACATCCCTTCATACATTGTCTGAGGTGGATAACTGTCTCACACCCGACACGGACTAGACTTCACTGGCCACGGATTCTAACCATAACTTCGGGAAATCCATATTGAAGCTAGTCACTAGTGAGCACATGATTATTATTAGTATGAGGATTTGTGTAGATTGTAGTATTATCAAGTTGGACACACGAGCCGGTTGCACTATTGTGGACTCCCATACCAGAACGAAACGACCGTTTAGTGCTATCGGGTTTTTAATGGGGCTCTAGCTTAACATAAATGAAATTTTTATTAGGCATGATGAAGATCCTAAACAGTCTTTTACAGTAACGTGAAGTCATATCAAATTTAATAAACTAGCAGCACAGTCACAGAGAAATCACTCTATAGTTTTAATGACATTAAAAGGCATTAAGGCAGAATAATATGCCAAGCTTATATTCATATTGATGCTGAGGTTGTTTCAAACATTAAATAGTTGATCCCTTAATTAATTCACTAGTTCTGACAGAATACTGTTTTCGATCTCAAATGACAGGAAAAGAAACGTGACCATACATACAAATGTGTAAAACACTTTTTAGTCAAGTTTTAAGTGTAAGATTGGTTACTATTAACAACTCATATCTCACATTTGATTAAAAATTAACTTGATTTACTAATCATCTTGTATGAGGTATTTCAGAAACAATAATTAAAAGCTAGTACTTAAATGAATAGAACATCGATTACCTTATCAGCTACCATAAAACAAGCGTAAAAACCAACTCCGAAATGACCAATAATGTCAACAGATTTTTGGCTGTCCTTGTTGCCAGTCATATTAGAAACAAACTCTCTGCTTCCAGAATGGGCTATAGTTCCAAGATTTTTTTCCAACTCAGTTTTAGACATCCCAATTCCTGTGTCTTGAATGACGAGAATTTTCTTCGCTTCATCTGTCCTTATGTGTATTTCTAAAGGTTCATCACTTAAACTGGATGAAACTTGGCCAGAAAGGCGTTGAAATCTCAGACGCTCAATAGCATCACTTGCATTTGATATCAACTCACGAACGAACACCTGAATAAAGATACAAAAAAAGCAAAACATATCTTTTGATAGTTTTAATTACAAAACTTACTTTTAAAGAATTGAGTCGGTATTAGGAAAGGTCAAAAAGTGGACTCATCATGAAGCTTAATCGATTTTTTTAAAGATTAACTAATTAATAAATTTTTCACAATTACATTAGTCTCAAAGACTCCGCAGGAACATGAATCATGGTTTTTTCATGTAAATCTTAGATTTTCTAGGAATGCATTCACTAAGAGTGTGTGTCATATACATCCACATGATGTTGAATAAAGGAATCATGTGCCATATTGCAATAGATTCGACAAATATTGTTGTCACTGTGCCCAACCACACACTGCTGAGCCTCAGCATTACCAACATGGTGTAGCCACTAGATGACCACAATCTTTCTGAGACGATGGTGATCAAACAGAGTTGCTGAATATCCTCAACTCGGAAGTCTGACAAGCATAAAGCAGAACTGCTCTCACTAATGTGTTGTACACCAGAACTAAGATAAAAAAACACGGCGTGATGAGTCCAAAAATGCCCCCAGATCGGCATAGGTAGTTCCGGTTATCACTATTTGTAGATCCACATTATCTGCTGTCACTACTAGAACTAAAAACTACTCAAACACATGAACTGTTCAATGACTAACAGCTGGTCACAAGTGACTCCAATCACACTCGATTTTGTGTCACATATTGTGGTAGTATATGAAGTACTACAAATTGTATCTAAACTATATATCCAGTGGTTACTTATGACAATAATGAAACAAGCATAAACGAACCGCATAGTCTTTTATTAATTTGTTATATGTATTCTGTAAAAAAAAATGTAGCGGATGAAATATACTAAGTATCAGCTTAAGAAAGTGATGATCGTGGTTAGAGGAATCGGCATTCAACTATTCATTAGCAGGTTCAAATTCCATCCCATCTCTTTATGGTTTAGATAGTATCACTAGCTCTTATCCAAATGTAGCTCAAAGCAGATTATATAAACCTATATTTAGTTAAGGAGTTATACTAAGTCGAAACTTCTTGAAAAGCCTTGAACTTGGAAAATTGATATGTAATCATTAACATACTGTTATGTTTACCACTAACCTCTTTGTCTGAGTACAAAGATTTAGCGACGATATCCAGTAACTTTTGTGTTTCAGCTTGAAATCCTACTTTTATTTTTGGACCACAACTCCGTTCATTATCATCAATGATGATGTGCTTAGGACCTTCATCCTCAACGGTCTTGAAGTTTGTACTATATGACAAGGATTCCTGCCGAAGCAATTTAGGATTGCATAACGTCCTAGCGTCTTGCTTAAAATTCAAATAGACAGGAGGAAGGCGACCCAAAATTCTGCAAAGTGTTGACATGTAGACTTTTTACAAATATCCAGTGTATTGAAGAGATCTGAAATAGTTAATATGAAAGTCGTACTTAGTAAACATTAAAGCTTTATGCTAAGGATAAGAAGCAACTTATGACATGGTCGCAAATAGTGAGAGAATAAATCGGACATTAAAAGTAATGACAAATTTTGCAACCTCCAGTATATGACCTCAAAACATTTTTTGAATGTTACTCAATTCAATATGACGCATTAATTAATGTACTTTTGCAGATAAATCCCTTTCGATATCGCTTAAGTGATTATCATTTCAATAAGGTTTTTTTATAAGTTATGAATACAATTTCTGTTACGAAGACGAAGCTAATGGATTACGATCAAAGCGACATCGGCGTCATAGCGCGCACACTAAACAAGGAAATTGATCACAGAATGTGATAGGTAAATTTAGTAGGGGGAAGTATAAAATACTCTCAAAACGTTGAACTAATCAGGAAAACAGTTAACTGTGAGACCAATAAGCAAATAAATAAGAAAATATATAAACAAAAACCGTGGGAACGGACACCTCACGCCATTCTTTGACAGATTTAAATCAGACTTTTAGGTATTAGGATGCGGAATTTAAGTCAGTATTAGCGTAAGGAATTATTTTGAAGCTGTATCTCAGTCCTAACAACTAAACCTCATTTCAACACCAAAATATGACGGTTGGTAGCCTTAAGGTAACTTGAAAAAGCTTGCTAACAACGTGGGAGCAATGAATCTTCGTCGAATTCTTCTGTTCATCATAGGTCATTTGTTCGAACTTGATAACGCCCCCATGACACTATCAAGGTCATAATGGAGACAGAATCCACCATATGTCCTTATCTAGAACACAATTTTTTTACTGAATTACAAAACTTTGAAACGCCGCTGGACAAAAAACGGATGCGACGCCGAGGTAAGATCCCCAACCTCCTTAATTATGGAAAAATCGTGTATATTTTCAGGGATCCCCAAGAACTTCGGGTTCCTGTCAATATTTTCCCACAATCTTATAACACTTTGGAAAAACCTGTCAATATTCATTGACAAAACGCCGAAAATAGAAGATTGCAATCTGACCCGTGGATCAGAAATTCCACAAAACCGATAGGAGCGCGCGACCGAAAGTAAAATACACTTTACAACGCAAACCCCTACTTGATGGACTGTAAACTGATTTAGAATTTACAGCAAGCTTTATGAAATGATCAGCCAGGACAGCCACGTGATTTACAAGTGTAGCACAATTTACGCTCTAATTAAAGCAACTTAAGTTGCTCACTAATGAAGGATGAATGTCACTAGGCAATACAAAACTAGTTGAACTAGAAAAGGATATGAAATACACCCAAATAGTTGCGAAAATGGAAAATCGGAAAGGGCACCACCAACACCTACAACCTCTGATATAATCAGTCAAGTAGTGTGCGTTGACCTTGAAAATGATTCAAATGTTCCAAATGGTTGTGGACGGAATATAAGAAGCTTTCACTTAACATGCTTCCGTGTCTAGTAGCAGAGGATCACCAAATCCTCCAGGCAGAAACTTGGGTATGCTATTAATAAAAGAAGAAAAGAAATTGGTAAATCATAGTATGATGCTGTTCTTTGGTCCTCAGGAATAGGTCAAGTTGCCTCTTGAAGGACTCCTGAGAAGTCGCTTGGACTAGCTCGGCCGGCAGCGAATTCCAGCTTTTGAAAACTCTTAAGGAGCAGAAGTTATGTTGTGTCTTCAGTTTCTGGGTGTTACCTCTTAGGTTATTGTCCGAACTAAGCTTAAGTAGGTGTTTAAGAGGATGTCCAGAAGTGTTAAGAATACTACAGGCCATTAATAAATCACCTCTAAGACGCCTATACTCTAATGGGTAAAAATATAGTGAATGGAGGCGCTCTTCGTAAGTCTTAAATTTCAGTCCTCGAACTGATTTCGTGGCTCGCCGTTTGATACGCTCCAGAGTGTCCTTGTCCTTCTGGAGTGAGGGAGGAAATACTCTGTTTCCGTACTCTAAATGAGGAAGGATGAAACTATTGAAGATTGTATGGAAAGTTCTTCCGTCAAATTGGCCAAAAATGCGCCTCAACGTTACCAGTGCATGGTTTGCTCGGAAGGCATTTTTGTCACAGTTAGCGTAAGACTTTAAGTCATGGGGCACCAGGACTCCTAAATCTTTTTCGACTTGGGATACTACTAGATTGGGGTTTCCTAAGTTGTAACTGTAGTCTGCGACATGTCGCAGATGGACCAATTTACACTTTGAAGTGTTAAAGGTAAGTCCATTATCGTCTGTCCAACTTTGAAGTCGAGTCAGATCCTCCTGAAGTGCCTGTATATCGTCTTGATTGCGTATATCTCTCCAAAGTTTCACGTCATCAGCAAAAAGTAATACGTCTGACGTTACCTGTTGAGGAAGATCACTTATGTAGATCAAGAAGAGAAGAGGCCCTAGTACTGAGCCCTAGAGGACCCCACTAAGACATTCCATAGCCTGAGATAAAGTGAAATTAACCCTAACCTTAAAGTGTCGATTTTTTAGGTATGAAGTAAGCCAATCGACTAGAGGTGGTCTGATACCTAGTCGTTTAAGCTTATTCATAAGACAAAAATGGTTAACCTTATCAAAAGCTTTTGAGAAATCTAGGTAGATGATATCAACCTTCCCGTTGTGGTTGAGGATGCTTGTCCATCTGTCCACCGCAGTCAGAAGGTTGGTTATACAAGAGTAACCCTTCCTGAAACCATGCTGTTGTGGTGAGAAGAAATTTAAAGACAGTAAATAGTCATTTATACCATCACATATCAGGGACTCCATGAGTTTTGAAAGTAATGACAGAAGAGCCACCGGTCGGTAACTTGAAGGTTCATTGCGTCGATGTCCTTTGAAAATTGGTGTGATGTGAGCCAACTTCCAATTTTCCAGTAGTTTCCCTCGGCTTAGCGAGTGTGAGAACATCACGCTAAGCGGCGTTGCTAGGATTGAGGCTGCTTCCCTCAATATGGCAGAATGGACCATATCCGGGCCAGGAGAAGTGTCTAATCTTAAGCGCTGCAATTTCCGGAAAACCAAGTCAGCGCTTAGGTCCACTTCGGAATGTCCAGTGGAATTGCAGATGAAACTGTCATCAGTAAAGTTGATGTCGGTCGGTTGAAGTGTTTGAGAGTAATGTGCCGCCAGAAGGTTAGCGGCGTCACCATCGTTGTTGGTCGGGCCGTTAAGACCTACCAGTTGAGAAACTCCTGTTTTGGCTTGAGGAAGAGAGGCTGCATAACGGGATAAGCTTCTAGGGTTAGAGGCAAATTCGTCCGTAAGCTTTGTCTGGTAATGAAGCCTGTCTTCTCTTATAGCCTTCGTGCATATGTTCCTGATATGTTTATATTGCCTATACGCTCCGTCGTTGTCAGTTCGTTTGTATTCCGTCCAACAGTGCCTTTTGCGGCTTAGCAGGCGAAGGGTACGGTTCTTGATTACTGTAGGTGGCTTGCAGCTTTTAGCAACCGTTTGAAGAACTGAATGGTTTGTAGCACATAAACGCGTGTGCAGTAAGAAGTCCCAATGACTGTTCATATCGATTTGAGGGAGAGCATCCCAAACCACGCGTTGTAGATAGTCGCGCAGAGCTGGCACATTCAACCGTTTAAAATTACAACGCAAATTATTGTTGGGATACCTTAGCTTAGTTTTGATGACAAAACTGAAGGCTATGACGGCATGATCGCTTTTTCCCAGGGGAGCCAGGATTGAGAGGTTATCAACTAGAAATTCTTCGTTTGTGAATACGCAGTCCAGGAGCGATGGTGTCTGACTGTTTCTCCAACGAACTGCCGACCTCACATTTTCGTACAATCCCATGTCATCGATGAGGTTGAAGAACTGAGCTTCAGTTGAGTTGTCGCCCCCAGTATACGTGTGTTCCGCAAAGTTGACACTAGGGAGATTAAGGTCTTCTAGAATCAGGATGTGTGTGAAACCGGGACGAGTAGAGCGGGATAGTCCTTCCAGCATACGACTATCGTACTCGATGTCGGCAGTTGGCTTCCTGTAAATGACTCCGACTAGACACCTCGAAGTACTAGACAATCTTACAGAGCACCATCTAGATTCCTCAAGATTGTTAAACTCGGGGTTATGAACTTGGTGTATCTCCAAGCAAGATCGTATGTACATGGCTACTCCACCCCTGATTCCTGATTTTCTGTCGTTGCGCAACAAAGACATTCCAGGTACTGCTAACTCCTGGTCCGAGAACTGAGAAGATATCCAGGTTTCAGATATTCCTATCAGATGGGCCTTATTAGCACTACTAAGCTCACGTAATTCATCCAATTTGTTTGGTAGACTCGCGGCGTTCATATATAGGCAGTTTATGCTTTCAATTTGGAACGCGTGAGCTTCGTCCTGATTTTTTGTGTCAGCCTTACGTGAATGGACAGGTAGCCCACCTATATGGGGTTTGCCGAGGTGGTGGGCCCTGTCCTTTACACGTTTTTTTATCATTTAGACAGTCCACGAGTGGAATGGTCAGCTCCAACTTGCCTTTGTGCTTGGTCCTAGCTTCGCATGGCCTATCCGGGCCACGTAATTTCATGAAGCACTAAAATACAACGATTCTGTATTGCCTATAACTTTCACAGCTATTAACGACGCTGACGTGACAGAGGCAGTGCAAGACATTATTATAATCGAATACATGTGCCAACATCCATAATCTCGACACAATGGAAATCTCAGAAACTATATAATTTCAGATTTGATTAACAGAATGGAAGAAGTTTGTATTTGAAAAAAAACTATATTGGGTTGTTCAATCAGTGATGCCTATAAGCTTGCCTCGTTAGGATAAAAAGGCACGCAACTTGGCGCATGACAGCGTGTTAGATTCGTAGGTAAAATATTGTACATACATACTTTCTTAGGAAAAATCGTTGGAGGTGAATAGAACATACACTACAGAAATCACCAAACCACATCACTAGGCAAGTCTTAAATTGGAATCCTGAAGGGAAACGGAAAGGTGGAAGGCCGAAGAAAACACTGCTCTGGGAATTACAGGTAGATATGAAATGGATGAATTGCAACTCTAAGGGATTGCCCAGGACAGGGTTGGATTGGGAGTTCTGATGGGCAGTATGTGCTCCTTTACGAGGAGAAATAGGCGTATGAAAGGTAAAATATTGTACTTCCCCTCAAAAAACTGCTGCTGAGATAATTGGAACACAGTTGAAATTGGGTGATTTTAAAAAACCCACTGTATTTCCAGTTCATTTCAGTTACCTGGACCAACACTCTGTCTTCTCTTCAGTGATGATCAGAAGTGTTATTGTCTTATATTGGTAGCACAAAGCTTGAGATATTTGTGTTGTGAAGCTGTTGTGTTTGAATGAACTAATGATACCTTTGTATATGTTGAATGCTTGATTTCGAATTCTGAATACAGTACATTCATTTTTGCTTATCTAGTATTTCTTGATCCGATTACATTATTTCTGAGATTCTGAGTTCTTACTATAATTCCTAATTATCATATTGGCTTCGCGATGGAGAAGTTAGATATTCATTCAATTTCTGAAGCTTTTGAGGACTTTTTAAAAGGTTTGAAACCTGGAGCATGACTAACGAAGATGTTAAAGGTGATAAAATTGTGGCACATTTCCTGACATTCATCGGGAGAGAAGCGTGCAGAGTATTAAAAACTGTCATATCCAGAAAAACCTGTCTCACATCCTTATGCAACTTTTAAAGAGCTTTTAATAAACCATGTAAAGTGCACCAGTTTTGAATGCTGTGAAAGGGCGAAATTTCATAAGATGATTCATCAGAATGATCAAAATGTTCGGGAATTCATCCTTGAATTGCAGAAACAAGCTGCCAAGTGTAATTTCGGTGATCAACTTCATGTGCAACTGAGAGATCGATTAATTGCAGCAATTAACATACCGGGTTTGGGAAGAGAACTGCTAAGAATGCAGAACTGTTCCTTTCAAGATGCTAGAACTGCGTGTATTAACTACGAAGCAGTCAGTGAACTTGATATCTAGTTGGTGAAGATTTCCAATACTTTGCTTAGTCGTCATGACTAAATACAATGTCGAGGTCAGCCAAACTTGCGTTCGTTTAACAGTGATTCCTATTCTCGTGTAAATATGAAAGGTGATTCAACAAGGAATTACAAAGCAAATCACAAAGGTGAGATGAAGTTTGGTAAGTGTTTATCATGTGGAAAGTTTCATTGTCGTAATTCATGTGCATTTCGTAATGCTAAATGTTTTAAATGTGGTAAGATAGGACACATTCAGTCAGTATGCAAAGCTACTGTCCATTGTGCTTCATGTAGTACTAAATCTTGTAATTTAAGTCGCAATAATTTGAATGTTTCTAGTGATCATTTATCTTTGTCTACTATTTCGAAAGGTAATGCTCATATTCAAAAGCGATTATATACATCGCTTGGTT